AACCTAGGTTCAGTTTCCAATATCCAGAGACAGCTTATAAGTCTATAACTCTAACTCCAGGGAATTTAGTGTCCTTTGATGTGGGATTCCCCTCTGTATGCTGTGAATACATTTTATTAGCATCAGTTAATAAAGAAGCTCCTTTGGCCTATGGCAGGGCGAACATAGCAAGACAGAAAATCCAAGCAAGGATAGAGAAGGAAAGAAGATAGAGTCAGAGAGATGCCATGTAGCTGCCGAAGGAGAAAGACAACAGACCCTTACCAAGTAAGCTACAGCCTCGTGGCTATACACAGATTAATAGGAATGGGTTAATTTAAGATGTAAGAGCTAGCTAGGAATATAACTAAGCTGTCGGCAAAACAATGTTGTAATTAATATAGTTTCTGTGTGATTATTCTGGTCTGAAATTAAAGTACAGTCTCTATTTACAGGCATGTATACAGTATTTTACAATCAGGCAAGACACTCATACACGTAAAGTAAAAATAAGTCTTTAAATAAAATTTAAAATAAAAATTGTGACTATATTAAACATGTAGACATTTTTCTCTGTCATTTACTTTCTAAACATCACACTGTAATTCATGTATCATTTACATTGGGGTAGGTATTATAATGTAGATGTTATAAAACTATATAGGAGGTGTACATAGTTTATATGCAAATACTAGACCATCTTAGAAAAAGAGCTTAAACATCTGTGAAAATTGGTATTAAGGTGGAGGAACCTAAGAATCAATCACCTACAGAAACCAAGACCAAGGAACAAACTAAAGTTTACCACTGCAACACACAAAGGTTGACAGACATGTACATGCATACTCCCATTTTCAACAGTATAAAACTCTTCTAACAACAAAGAAAGTTGAGACTAGAATGGAAATGATTATGATACTGAAACGCTGTTAAGGTGTGAAACACAGCTATAACTCTATCTGGATCTAAAGCTGACAAAATAAATTTAGTCTAATAGGAGGCAGTTTTGTCCTCACCATACTGTATTATGAGTTAAGTAACTGAGTTCTTTATCGCACTGCTGTGTAAAAACACAATGAAACCCCGGATGTCATTCATGTACACAGAAGGCAGATGTAGGGTTGAAAAGGGACCCTTTATTTGCATGCTAATAGCTTTTGAAAGGACATGAAAAATTCTACATGGAGAACAACAGACACCAAAATATTTGTCTATGTTTAATAACAATATGGGGTAATCAACTAGTATTCTTGGACTTGCCTGACAACCATTTTTGCCCTCTTTGATTATACAGAGAATAAGGATAAGATACAATCTCTAGCATGGGCCCTGTTAAGTTACTAACCTCCCAACTCCAAGGTTTCCTTTCCTAGAAATTCTCCTTTTCCAGCTGCCATTCCACATGACTGATGTACAATGGGGTACATGCTGCTGTCTCCCTTATTCCCACTAACCTGGGAAACTAAAAGTCGTCCTTTGAACACACCTGCACAGTAGTACTCAGCTTGCAGGAGTAGATGTCTGTCTGCCACCCGTGACCAACAATGAGTCAAATGAAGAGCCTCCATGACCTGCACACAGGGTAAGGCACTTGTACCAATATTCAGAAGCAATCACTCCTTTCCAATAGAGAAGTACAAAATCACTCCTTTCTAATAGAGAAGTGTACAGCAGTGAAGCCACATAACCCAAGCCATCATCATTCCTGCCTCTCTGAGAATCTCTAGCCACAAGGCACATCCACCTTGTTCACCAACCCTACAGAAGGCCGGTATTCTGCCTCAGGTACCTCCTCCACCTCTGCCAAAGGGCTTCCCTCAAATTCCTAAGACTCCCGTCATGGCTTAGAACCACAGACCAGATGCTCTCAGGCTTTCACAGGCTGTTACTCAATGACAAGTCTAACCACATTCCCCTTTTCCAATCTCTTACCTCTTGGTTATATTACACCTATGAGAATCAATTTGGAAAGCCTTAATAGAAGGTAAGACTCTATATTTATCATTTTTCCTAGACCACAATAGCAGTACTCCTTAAACTACCTACATATGCATTATACTTTTGAGTAAAAGGTCGCAGATGCAATCTAACAGACCCCAGAGTTCCAGGCAATGAAATGACTTGCAGAATTTTGCAAGTTCCAAACAAAATTTAATTCTACATGCTGAATCAGGCTTCTTAAGACTCCAGTAGTACCTAGATCTTGATGTATGTAATTTGTCCTTTGAGTGCCAATATTTTGGAATGGGCAATCTCTTAAGACTCTACCTTCTTACCTTGTGTGTCTTTCATAAGAATTAGCTGCTAGCTGGGCAGTGGTGGCACACGCCTTTAATCCCAGCACTTGGGAGGCAGAGGCAGGCGGATCTCTGTGAGTTCGAGACCAGCCTGGTCTACAGAGCTAGTTCCAGGACAGGCTCCAAAACCACAGAGAAACCCTGTCTCGAAAAACCAAAAAAAAAAAAAAAAAAAAAAAGAATTAGCTGCTATGCACAGACTTGGGCCAAAGGGCTTTGTTCTTCAGGGAAATACAATTTATCTTCTAATTCTGTTAGAAGAATCCCAGACACTAATGATTTAACACTGTTCAAATTGCAGAGAGCATCTAAGCCCAACCATGCTGTCAAATGATATGTTACCATCTGTGTAAGGAATGTACTTTTAAGAAGATGACAGCAAGAAACTTGATGGAATTAATCTCAGAGATGTTTTGAAGAAGTGTTATTTTTGAAATCTGGGTTATATAGTCCAAAAGTCCCCCTCATCTCCCAAGAAGGAGGGGCTGAGTATGTCACTCAGTAGAAGTATGAAGCCATGAGTTTGAACCTCACAACTACAAAGGGGATGGAGGGGTAGTTACAAGTAATATTAGGTAATTTAAAATTAGCATGACCCCATGAAAAAGGCAGGAGTTTACAGGAGACTATCTTCCCAAAATGTATAGTCATTATATGCTTAAAACACTGTAAGTGAATCTGACCAGCTTTGTAGTTAACAACCAAGTTGTCCACATGACACTGTAGATAAAACCAGGCCCACCACAAAAATATTGGAATCAATTCACTAATTCAAGCACAAGTTGGGTACCAAAAAGTTACAATTATGAACTTTAACAAAAAGCCATGGCTGTCTCTAGCATCTGTTCTTGGTCTTTGTGCTTTGGTAGTGGAATAGAAAACCAGTCCGCCCTAGTGTCCTGTAGGTGGCTGGAGGGCTAAGACATTGTGAAAAGCAGTCTCCTCCGTCAAGCATTGACTAAAACACAGGAGAACCTAGGAAAACGTTGGAAACCTAGAAAAGAATTCTCATGACCTATTAGAGGATTAAACCTTTGATTTTATTTCTAAGCTTCTTCCAGTTTAAACTTAAAAGTCAAAGGAAAGTCCTTTCACATCTAAAATATCAGTCCACAATTCAGACCACTCACAAGCTGTCTGTGCTGACCCAGGTTGGAGGGAATCTCTGCTTTAGAAGCCTCTCTGTCCTACTAAAGGAGTTTGCTGCCTTTCTTTAACACTGGCAAATTCTGATAGCTTCTGCCCCTCTGAATGGAATTAACAGGCTCCAGCTCGACAAAATGTGTGTTCTCCTCAAGCAATTTTCACTAAGGTAAAAAGCACACTTCAAAACTAAAGGCACACAAGAGATGTGTGACACCGTCACACAAGTTTTCCTTTAGTCTTTTTTCTCTCCTAGTGAGGCCCCAGCCTAGGTGAGTAATTCATTCATGTCATCCATTTGTAATGATGAGATGAGAAAAGAAACCATCATTTGTCCTTTTCCGAATTTAGAACCTTGCCCTATCTCGAGTCTATCAAATTGTTCCTGAGGTGGGAAGGCAGGAGAGGCAAGGAGGAACATTAGTCTCAGGTTACTGCATCCACCAGAGAATAAGCACTTTGGGTCCCCACTATGTCAATACAGGCATCTGCACTTAGGTGATGTGCACCCCCCCACCCCTCTCTACTCCTCGTGTCCCCTTGAAGGAAGAGTCTGAGTTCTTTCTTGAGAGACTTACATAAGACCCTGTAAAACTTCCTGTGACATTCACAGAAAATGTAAACTGCTATTTTGCTCCCTCGGGAAATCATTTCAAAGGACTGAGTGACAAAATTCACAGATTCAGAATTGAGCAGAAACCTACTCAACCCAGGTGCACCAGCACAGGAACAGAAAAAAACGCATCCCTATTAAACAGGGTCACCCAGGGGATGGACTGAATGTGCAAGAGACAATCTGTTCCCTTTGGCGTGACCCATTTAAAAGCAGATTGTTTCGAGGAAGCCCATAAGTTTAAAAAAATCTCACTCTGGCAAAGACATGGCTTGTAGAAAGAACTGTGGTTACATAGTGGGAGCCTTTCAAAGCGATGAACAGCATAACTTCATGATGCTCAAACTTTAGTCACCATCCCAACGTCCAGAACCAATGGCATTCACAAGAAATTCTGTCTAGACCAGAATGGATCAAGAATAAACTTGATCCCTACAAGAAGTTTAGTCTAAAAGGAAGGATCAGGTGTGTTGGCTGTTCTTCCTCTTGTGGGTATTGACGCAAACCATCCACTCTAACCTAAAAAGCTTCTTGCAAAATGTGGATGCACACCCCCAAACCGTCCTCTCTTCAATTAATTGCAAAGCAAGTTCTAGGGGCAACCCATCATGAAAGGCGGGTAGGTGAGCAGGGCAGAATGGCGGGAAGGGTCCCAGGGTAGTGGGAATACAGCACCTCCAGATGTTAGAGAACTCCCACACATAACATCCCACCCCACCATTGTCTACCTACATCTGTCCGCCTATGTGCCTGTCATACCCTGAGACAGGTCCTGAGAACACCAGAGATTTAGGGTCTTCAACCTCCTGCTTTTCCAGAACTCAAAGCCAAGTCAAAAACGGTGTGCCCTCCGTCTTCCACAGTAACCTAAGCACACCGGATATCAGCCACAGGTATGGGTAGCTTGTTAGGGCACTTCTCACCAAATCGCCTCACAAAGAGGTTCTCTCGCAACCTAGGGCTCTTACCTTGGCCTTGACTACCCAGGAAAAAGAACAGTCCGGAAGAGCTGACACTGGAAAGCTTGGTGACACTGACGCCTAAGAAATGTAGGGGGTCCGGGTCGGTATCCCAGCAGGTGCCGTTTTAACCCGACGGTCGGTGCCAAGTGTAGACTTCGGGACAGCCTTAGGCTCCAAATACCACAGGAAAGGTCCGGGTAGCGGCGACAGAGCACTGTCCCTTCTTTCTCCTCCTCCTGGGCTGCTGTCGGGAGCTGTGTCTCGCCAAAAAGACTCTTCCAAGCCGGGAGCGTCTCGCGTGGGCAGGGGCCTGGGGCGGCCCAGGGTTGGGTCCCGCGGGAACCAGCGCCGGGAAGAAACGAGGAGCGGACACCCTACCGGCTCCACCTAGCCGCTTAGCCCCTTCAAGGCAGGGCCTGCCCACAACCCTCCGGCGAGGCGAGTGAGTGCGGCCGCGCCCCGGCACCAGCGCCCCGGCTCGGGAACAGCGACCAGGCCGGGAGCTGCTCAGCCGGCCCTGGTGGCGAGAGCAGCGAGCGTGCACAGGGACCGGCGGTAGCTGGTCCCAGTGACCCTCCCCCCACCCGGGCCTGCGCGCCGGCCCGCGAGTGCACGGGAAGCGGGAGCTGGAGCGGGCCTCGCCCTGGAGTGGGGCGCGGGACCGGGGACTTGGGGCCGAGGTAGGCGACCCTTGGAAGGTCAGAGTCGCCGGGGCGCGGCAAGCGGGACGCAGCACTGTGGGTGCGGGGAACCCGGACGGGCGGCCCCCACCGCCGACGCCGACGCCTCCGAGACGAGCCGGCTTCCCGGAGCGCTCGGGTTTGGAACCGCGCGTCGGCTGCAGCCGCCGTGGGTAGCCTGGAGCCGCGAGCGGAGGGCGCGCGATCCCCGCTTCCCGCGCGCGGCCGAGCGGGAACCTCTGTGCGGGGACCCGCGTGGGAGCGCGCTGGCGGGCGCTGGGGTTCGAGCTCCGGGCTAGTCCTGCGGCCGCCGCGTGCTTAAAGCGTCCGGCTCGCTAAGCAGCTGCAGTGACTGTGTGTCAGTGTCACGTCTGTGCAGCTGGGGGTGGGGGATGCAATCGGGACTGGGTTCCGAGCTGGGGAGGGACCGGAGCCTGCCTCGGCCCCGCCCCCACCCCCGTGACCTCACGGACGACCAATGGACAGAGCCAGGAATGAGCGTCTCAAGTGCCCGCCCTACCTAGGCTCCGCCCACGGCCAGGCGCCTCCCAACACTCCTTGACTCTCTGGATAGCAGGAAGAAGCAACACCCGGAGCGGGGATCCCGGGCCGGGTCGTGGGGAAAGAGAGCTGGCTGGAGCTCCCCACCCTTCTTCCCCCACTTGGGCCTCTCCCGTCCGCTCCGGGATTGGAGGAAAGAGGGGGAAGGGAGGCAGACCGGATCCGCAGCTGCTGCTGTAGGACTGCCTGCCGTGGGGGTCACCGTGCCACCCACGATTTTACAAAATAGCGGTCTTTAGGAAGTAGGAAGTTTCTCCTGCTCTTTCTTCTGCTAGGGACAGGGGTATGAGGCGGCTGGAGCTGCGAAAAGTCCCCCCAGAAGGTTTTGACTGCATCTGTTAGGATTCTGGATCCAAGAATCCTCTGCAAGACAATTTTTTTCAGGGGTATTTACATTTTTGTGCCCTCCCCAATACACACAGATGGGCCCCTTTCTAATTTTATTCTTGCTCAAATCCCCGCGTGCAACATCCCACTGGAGGGACTTCCAGCCTCCTGGTGTTAATGGTGAGGTTGGGGAGATGCCGAGAGTCCGCCCATGCAGCGGAGGAGCGCAGGAATTTTGTCACAGTAAAGAGGACGGACTGTCCCTCCGGGGGCGGGGGGGGGGGGGGGACCTGAGGCTGAAGCAGAGTCTGGGAAGAGAAAGAAGATAACGGCGGATGGACAACTCCAACTGGAAAACCGAGCTCCGAGAGGGCAATCCAGCTCCCAGGTTTTTTCCTCAACTCTATCCCAGGGTTTCTGGGGTCCCCTTCTTTCCCCCACCCCCCACCCCTGAGTCTACACCTACCCACCACACTACAAGCCGCTGAGTCTCCGCTTTCCCCGCGCCTGTCTCTGCAGGCAATCCACACGCTTTCTTTTAAAGGCTGGGAAGGATGGACAGTGGAGGGGTGAGCAAAAAACGCCTCCTAGCCTTTCCACCCGAGGTGGGGAACCACTCTTCCCTTGGAGTCGGCTACACACACACACACACACACACACACACACACACACCCACTAGCTCTGGCCTTGGTCCTTACACACCAACACTCTTCTGCTCACTCCAAGTTGCCCTCCAGTCTCTAGAAACCAATATCCATTCCACCACCATCAGGGTCTCTCCCCTAGTTCCCGATAATATTTACCTAATCAGTGGTAGCCCCAGTGGAGAAGGCGAAAGGAAGGTAGGGATTGCACAGCAAAGTCCCTGGCAAAGAATTAAAAAACGTTTGCTTCCGAGCTTTGGGATAGTAAACCGCGATGCTGGGGCCCTGATATCTTAACTCTGGCGGGATGACTTTCAACGTGAAAGAAAGCAGATCGTATCTGGTGTTGATGCCATTATTGTGCCGGAGAAGAACATTATATGATAAATTATTATCTATTATCCTAGAAGCCATTAAAGTGTCAAAGTTTAATGTCAAGCCTTTAGCTGCCTTGAGCTCAAAAGCAGCTCAATATTTCCTCTGACGTACAGCTTTGTTCTAGAACGCCCAGTAAACAAGGAGATCGTTTGTTTGTTTATTTATTTATTTATTTATTATGTGGCGCGAAAGACTTTCCTACTCTGTTCCTTCACCCACACACCAGCTCTCGCCCTGGAACTTGATAGAGACAAATAAAGGATAAACTTTTTATTTATCGCCTGGCTTCACTTCATATTAATGGTGTAAAAGTGCATTATTACAATACATTAGCATGTTAATAAGGGGAAGAGAAGAGAGTCTTGGAATTTACAAGCAAAGGAGAAAATCTAATTGACATCAGAAACTCAAAAGATAAAGAATGTGGAAAGAAACCTCTTCACTGTAATAACATGAAACATCTTCATTGTAATAACACAAGAGTGGTACCTTGTCAAGATCTTTGAAAGATATGAATAGGGTGCTGGGAGGGAGCATTAGTCACTGGGATCAGTGAGGTACCATAGTTACTAGGGGCTTCATGAAGTTGGCTATCATGGGCCATTAAACTCCTTAGTTGCTGAAAAGCTTCTATCAACTCAAGGTTCCATTTGTACAGCAGCAGTGTATGTAATAGGCTAAAGGGAGAATGCGTTAAGACAGCACTGGTTAATTCCTGTCATAGGAAGCTCCACATTGTAGTTTTTCCTTTTTGGAAAACTGTTAAGCTCTTAAACCTCCCAGTCTAAGTGTGTGTGTGTGTGTGTGTGTGTGTGTGTGTGTGTGTGTGTGTATGTGTGTCCTGAAGTTGGAAGTGATTGCCTAGAAGTTATAGGTCTTAGACACAAACCAAGATATAAATGTCAAAAAAAAAATGATTTTGACTTTGAAATAATATAGTACGAAAAATGCAGGATAAAATATGTAAGGAATATATCTGTTATTTTTAAAAAAAAATCAGCCTGGGTTCAACTGAGAAATGGAAAGTACAGTACCCTCTAAACCAACTGCTATTTATCCTCGCACCAACATTGCACCTGTTACTGAAAAGTCTGAACCCCCCACCCTAACCCCCAAATCTCTCTCTCGGTTATCTTTTCTCCTCTTCAATAGGATCATACAGAACTCATCTTAAGAAACCCGAGGTCTTAAAACAGCCACTAGGGGCCCCTAAAGGCATCTCTCATCTCCCTGGTTTCTGACCTGCTTTCCTGAGTACTTGCAACTGGGATCTAAAGAGAAGTAAAGAATGAGCATGGTGTGGAGACAAATTAGGCCTTCGACTTGGGAGTCAAGAATTTTGTTTCTTCATTTTCTGATATCTAAAGCCCTCATTATTCCACAAAAGGAATTTTGCATCCATTGATAGCCGCATCTCAAAGTCAAAGAAACAATGTCTACCTTTCCAGACTAGACTCAGTCTCTGATTTGGTACGTTTTTCTAACTATCTGACTATTCCTCAAAAGCTGGGTAGTTAGACTGAATCTTTGCAGAGAGAATACCTAACAACTTGAATACCAATGCAGCTACCAATAGAAGTCAAGCCAACTTCAAATTGTGTGTGGGGTGTGTGTGTGGGGGGGGGGGGGGTGTAGAGGGCAGACGTCCATGTTAAACTGGCCAGAAAGCCTCAAAGAGCTTCCTCTCTCTACCTTCTCAACCTTAGGATGACGGACACACACTACCATGCCAACTTTTTATGTGGGTTCTAGGAATCCTAACTCCAGTCCTCATATTTGCAAAGCAAGCCATTTACCACATTGAGCCATTTCTCCAGCCCCACCTTGGAGACTGGGTGCTAGTGAGTTAATGATGACATTAGTGGGGATACTTGAGTACAGTGGGAATGATTCACATTGGAGACTGCAGCAGAGGACACTGACCAGTCAAGAGAGAAAGGTTGCAATATCTTAATAATGTTGCATTTGCCAAAAACAAATATCAGGTAACCTTAGCAATCACATAATCTCATCCCCCATCTTACCACTCAGTAAGGTTAAGATGTCCTTTTTGAGAGTTGAGTACCCATGTAGCTCAGGTTAGAGAAGCTCCAACCAGTGCTGGAGAAATAAATATCTGTGAACAATATTCTATGTAGGCATGTATCCAATGAAAATTTACTCACCAGGCATGAAACATTCCTGTCATTCTGGCCTATAATAAAAAGACATTCCTAGGCAAAGCAAAATGCACTCATCAGGGAGACACAGGGAAGAAGCCACTTACTTGGTGAAGAATTAAAGAATGTTAATATAAGTCATCAAATTAACACTAATGGAAGTGTAATTTGAACATAATTTAACTGAAAACCAAGCAAGTCCAAAAGTGAGACATGAAACAGAAAATGAGAATAAAGTCTTTCTGTGTGAAATAAAAACAATATTTTATGTTCTCTGCATCATGTTCATTAAGGAGGTTGAATACAGGTGATCCCAAAATAGCATTATTAATTTCTGGGAGACTTTCTACCTCAAACTTCAGAGCCTTATAATTAGAATGGATTTGGTTCTAGATGGAAGATGCAATTGTCTGTAGGGGTGAGGGTGTATTCACTCATTGGCTGTGAGAGGCCATCAGAGTCCAACATTGTCAGGTAGATAGCTCCCTGGACACCTTAAGAAAAAAAAAGAAAAAAGAAAACAGGAATGTCAGAGCCCTCTCTGGAAAAAAGGATACATTGGTGCTAGAGAGGTCAAAAGAAAAGACAAAGCAAAATTCTCTTCTCAGGTCCCGGCAAAGTGGGACTTCAAGCTAGTGTGGCATAAGGCCCCGAAACAGAAATATACATTGTAAACATGTTCTGGAAATAATAGATAGGGATGTATAGCTTTCAGAATTGGTAAATGAGTTAAAAGGGTAGAAATGACTGGGTGGGCATGTTTACAGCCCCTGCTACCTGCCCTCCTCTATTTGTTTACAAAAGAAACCAAAACCTGTAGAGTGAGAACACCTGCTGGTTTAGTGGGCCTGTGCTGGAGCCTGGGGCTCTGCTTCCTGAGCAGAGCTGTCCACAGACCACACATTAACATTAACAGTATGTATCCTCCTTTTCCTGTTTTGCTGGGTTAGGATACCTCAAAAGGTAAACCCAGAGGAAAGGATATGAAATTGGAAAGCTAAATTGGAAAGTAACACCAAAAAAAGAAAAAAAAGGGGGGGGGGTGGTGGTTTCAGTGCCACAGCTGTTGTTCCCTTGCAACACTACAACTCCCAGCATCCCTCTGGACTCCAGCGCACGCAAGCGCGGGACACATTTCCCAGAAGCCTTTGCATCCTCTGTTAAAAGCAAGGACAAGCCACGAGTTCGCCCCTTCCCTTCCCTTCTTGTCCCTTCCCTTTGTCCCTTCCTTTCACTTTTCCTAGTGTGTTTTCCCCTCCCATTAAAAAGTGTACCACGTGGTACTGCCGCGTGTCTGTGTCTTTTCTAGCGTAACCCTCGTCTAACCCGCAGGAATTAAGAACAACAACAGCAGCCATGTGTTGGATGCCCAATGTGATAGTATACATAGATGGGCCTTTAGGAGCTAAGTAAATTGTGAAAAAGCTGCCCTCATGTATGGGGTAAATGGCAGTTTTATAGGAATGCATGAATT